TTGGATTGAATGCCTTTTTCTATCTTTAAATAAAACCGTTATTTAAAGGATTAAACATATATTGCAAGGATTAAATTTTGCTACAAACAGCTTGCCATACTCCTCACCTTCGTCAACTATGAACAGGTTTAAAGTCATCTTTGCTATGCCTTGTTGAGTATTAACTCATAGAAAACGTAGGTTTGTAGGACTTCTTATTTTTAAGTATTATGGCCAAGTGATCTACAAAAGCTGAAATATAGACATCTTCTAGGGTACCCAGGGTATGCTGGTTGGTCATTTTGGGGATTAATAGAAATTACACATACAGCTCTATTTTCTCTTGGTTTAAGCTTGTCGTCCTCACATTTATGCTTTTAAAATGCTTGCATTTCTGGGATCACCAAGGCTTACACTGGATTATATTTCACTTAAAGGTGGCCAATGGAAAGAGGTCATGGTGATTCGATTTACCTAAAACTGTGGGAAAGGAACCATTGCAACCATCGAGATTATCAAAATCTTGCTAAGAATGGAGCAGATTCCTTTGAAGCAAACTCCAAACTTATCAAAAGCATGGCAAGAGACCAGAAACTAGACCAACCTGCTTTGGTTTTCTACTCATTAGTGGGAAATGATGTGTGCCAAGCAAGACCTGACCTTAGTAATCTGACCACTCCTGAGGAGATGCATAGAAATGTCCTTGAAACACTTAAAGGTCTGGATGAGCGTCTGCCAAATGGAAGCCATGTGATTCTTATTGGTTTAGTTGATGGTCGAATTCTGTACGACAGTCTTCATAACCGTGTGCATCCCATTGGGAGTCTGAGAAATGATGTGACATATGAGCAGTTTTATGACTTCATGAACTGTTTGCAGATTTCTCCCTGTTTTGGTTGGATGAATTCTAACGAGACCATCAGAAATAAAACAAGTGAAAGGGCTGCCCAGTTAAGTGCAGTGTTGAAACATGTGGCTGAGACAATGACATATGAACATTTTGATGTCTATTACTTTGATTGTCCCATGGAAGAAGTCCTCAGGGTAAGTTACAGTAGCTTATTTTTTTTTCTTGGGGATGTAAAATGTGATTGTGAGGGAGAGTAATTTAGTTGTTCAAAAGCTCTACTTGTGCAGTCAAATGCTGCTTTATGGACACCCATTCGATATGGACAAGTGAATGTATTGCAGCATCAATGTCTTTTGACACTATGATGAATAATTCATCCCCATTGAGTTTGCAATTTACATGTGGATGTGAATTGGTGAATTAAGTCAAGAACATGGGTTGCATGGAGTGCTGAGCAGGCTATATCACGTCTCATATCTAATATGTAGAAGTTAGTGGACTTATGGTTAACTTAATGTTTTATTACTTAATAAAAAAAAACCCACAAAATTTTGTTCAATCTTCCCAATATTATTTTGTGTAAAATTTCTGGAGAACAATTTTTGTCAGGCATGATATGATACTTAATATCAAATGGCTACTTCTAGAAATGATTTGCTGGACATTTTGATGATCTGAGGTTTGAGCCACAATGCAATGCTTAATATCACATGGCCACCTCTGGAACCTTTGATGATCTGAAGTTTGTATCTCTGTGGTCCAGAAAATGTTTTTTCAGTCTGTATTTTCTGCTATGTGGACTCCCAGATATACAGACATTTTTGTGTGGTAGTCATTTTCAGCCTTCAAGTTTTATAATTAAGTTGTTCAACAACTTTTCTACCCACATAAAGTACTACTTTAAAACAGTGGCTTGTGCCTTGTGACTAAGCAGTTGGCTAAGTACAGTATATTATTTTGTTTTCTCAGGAATGGAAACAAAAAGGTCATCCAGTGTATGAGTTGATTGAACCTGTGGATGGTTTTCATCCAAACCTGGTGGCCGAATCTTTAGCAGCTAAGACAATGTGGAGGATCCTGGAATCAAAAATTCCACATGTGCTTGGAAAGGTTAACCCTCACAATGAAATAATAAGACTACTTTTTGGCAATCAAGGAGGATATTAAGGGAAGGTGCAATGATCAAAATTTTGAAAACAATTATTGTAAAGAATCAACACCAGGAATGTAGCTATTTTTGAATTACTGAATTATTAAATTACAGTTTATACTCATATGTTAAATTTGCTTTTATAAAATGACTGACCGGGAAATAATTTCTAGATAGAAAGGTAAGAAGCTACATGTATGTGAATTGAATGGTAGTTTTTTTCAGAAAGTTTTGTATTCATTAATTGTTTTTTGGTTTGTTTGAATGCATCATGGTTGTTGTGATATACAGGTGTTTCAACACTCATTTTTACCATGTTAAGTGTAAGTTTACGTTCCAAATATTAGTTGCTAAAACGAGTTGTAGCGTTACACGAGCCAAATGCAAGCCCAAGTCAACCTCGAGTCAAGCACGAGTCAAGCCTGTTTTTTTAACTTTTTTTTTTTATTTTGTCCCAAAGATATAGATTGTGGGGAATAAAATATATGAATATAGATTGTCTTAGCAGTTAACAACACTTCTAACAACAGGCTCACCTCAATCGCGTCGCGCGCCATCTTGTAGCCTAGACTGCTAGCAGTCTCTCTTTTCCTTGAAAACTGTGGGGAAGAACGCAAAGCGAACGTGACTGTGAGTGTGACCTACGAGCGGCGATGCCGCAAGCCATCGCCGCTAGCATGTCACGCTCACGGTCACGCTCGCACGCTTACTTGTTTTGCGTTCTTCCCCACGGATTTTCGAGGAAAAGAGAGACTGCTCGCAGTCTATCTTGTAGCCTTACGTAACATACTACCTAGAGGACCCTGGGATCATGTGTATTCGTGCTCAGCCCCCCCNTGGCAAGTCACGTTATTTGCTGTGTCCATTGCAGATTATCAAGGTAACATTGTCTTATCCAAATAGTGAGCGACATGAATCTCGTTGACTATGTAAAAAGAAAATTTGAACAATAACATTCGTGCCACGCGTGCGCAAAAGGGTTGCCTCTTATCGGAATTTCGTGCTGCGATCGAGGTGAGCCTGTTAATAAAATACGCTGTCAGTTAACTGCCAAGACAATCCATATTCACATCTTTTATTTTCCTACAATCTATTTTTTTTTTTTGTTCGGGACAAATGAAAAAATTTACAAAAACTGGCTTGACTCGTGATTGACTCGAGGTTTACTCGTGACTCGAGGTTGACTTGGGCTAGCGGTTGGCTCCTGTAATGCTACAACTCGCTATTAACAGGGAAACATTAGAGAAATATTTTTTATATGTAACTGTAAGGCCTGAGCTAACAAATGTTATGCCAATTGGCCTTTTTAGTCGGTTTTTGGTGACAATAATTTAAATAGTTTACTTGAGGGCGACTTGCGGCTGAGACAAGAAGGTTTTATACAATTGTCATATTTACAACAAAATTATGCGGTAGGGTGGGAGATGTCTGCTAGTATCTAAAATATGACGCTTTCAACCCAGAGGGAAAGTTCAAATTAGGTTGTGAGTTAATACACAGTACTTAAAAGTATAAAGGTTTTGGACAAATTTCTGGATAGTGCCGTAATTCAAAAATAATAAAAATTGAAAACTGAAACTGTGCCATTCTTTTTGTTGGGCCATCTGGCTCAAAGACCAGTGTAGATCGGTATTTGAAGAATACAAATAAAACTACATCAGTTGTCACTACAAACTTTATTTACACACAATATACAGTAGAAATAAACCTTTGCTAAGCAAATAATTATTCCAGTGCACTTGTCATAATTTCCTGTAACGGTTAACCCAGAAGGACTGCGTTAAGTAGTCGTGATACTTCCTCGTTTCACTACAGCGTAGTTTGTCGTTTTGATACTCGCTTCTCCGGAGTAAAGTTCCTCCGAAGCCGTTGTTTAGCTATGAAAAAGACAAAAACTGAATACGAAACAACATTTGACCTCAGAATGCTTGGGTTGCAGTGCAAAGAATGGGAGTGGAAACTATCTTTTCTTCAAAGACTGTTCTCTGAGCCACTTCATGTGTGTATAAAAACACGCTTTCAACTTTTGGTCGAAGCATGTTAGAGTACACTGAGCGAATAAAAAGATACACAACCAGAAAACTGGATGAAACTTTTTTTTGCACGGTCAGTCTTTACCTGCTGGGCAATCTGGGGAGGAATCTAGTGGAAAAAGACCTTTGACATCATTAGGATTATACCGTGGCTTGCAACAGCAATCCGCACTGCAGCTAGGTGCACAAGAGTTGGGACATGATCCCGGGCAAGTTTGCCCAAGGGGAAGGGGCACGACAGACGGTAGTGTTTGAGGGGGTGGGGGTGGAGGAGGCTGAGGTGGAACCACCATTGTTGGTGGAGAGCAACAAGATGGATTGCATTGTGGGAAGCACGATGCTGGGCAGGCAGCAGCGCATGTTTGCAGCTGTGGCGCTGGAGGCGGAGGAGGCTGCTTCGGGGGCTGTGTGGCGGAGGGAGGTTCAAGGATTATAATAGGAGGAGATGGTGCTGGAGGTTGCACCTGCGGCTGGGCAGCTGCACAGCATTGTGGGGTGCAGGTTGGGAGACAAGACGGGGAGCAAGGGGCCGGGCATTGAGGGATAGGAAGTGGAAGTGGGATAACTATCGGGGGTGGAGAGGCTGGTGCAACGAGAGGAGGAGGTGGAGGTTGTAACGGGAAAGAAGGCTGAGATGCAAGAAGCGGGCTCTGGGTTGAGGAACAACACTGTGGTGAGCATTTCGGAAAACATGCTTGTGGGCATTCGCCTTGGGGACATTGCCCCTGGGTGACAGGTGGCGGGATTGCTAGAGGCTTGTAAAGCTGTGCCAAGGCTGGTGACTGCTGGCAACACATCTGCGAACACTGAGGATAACAAGACGTCGGGCAGCTGGTTGGGCAGGGTGGTGGAGGGGGAGGTAGCATTGGCAAAGCTGGTTGAGGGACTTGCGGCTTGCAGCAAGAAGGACTACAGTCAGGAAAACAGGAGCTCGGGCAGTAGGAGGCACAAGAATCTACGGGCGCAACTGGGTGCGGTAGAGGCTGCGGGGCAACTGCGGCCGGGGGCGGTACACAGCATCTGAAGTTGCAGTCGGGAGTGCATCTGTGCTGACATACTCTTCGGCAGTTTCCTTAGAAAATAAAAGCAAAACAGAACTTACAGATAAAAAATTCCTCCTGGACAAATTACGAGAAATATGTGAAAATTATCAACGAGAGTTTTGATGTTAATCGTTTTGGGATTACAATGATTTCTCAGATGACGTACCTTTCTTGTCTGTTTGTGGGCGGCGTCTGCGCGCCACATTGCTCCTCTGATACGAATAGCCATAATTCAGTTGCGTTTGTGGATAATAAATATACTGTCTTTTCACCAAGCCATTTTTACCTGCAAAGAGACAGTGAACGCGTCAATCATATAATACATTACCTAGAAGAACCTTGAGACTAGATGATTTTCTTTCATTTATAATGGGGACAGCAACCTTTATTCATTATTTGAGAATGATTGTCCTTCGCACGGAGCAGGACGCGCTGTTCGAGGCGGGGGCAAGCCAAATAAGTTAAATTAGCTAAAGGAAAAAATATAATAAATGGTAACTAGGATATATGACAGGGGCAGATCTAGAGAAAGGGCTGGAGGGATGGCTAGATACCCCCTTTAGGAGAAGCAAAAAATTAAAAAAAAAATGTGAAAAAGATTGTGAATATTATGACAGAAATAAAGCCAAAAACTCTGGACAAGTACCTCTTTGTAATTTCAACTTCGTGGTATTGCTAGTATGTCTGGTGTAACAGCTTTCACAGCAAGTCCCATTTCTCAAATTTCAAAGTTTTGTGGGCACGCCCAATTGATTCTGCAACCCCAAGGCACCAGCCACCCCTTCCCTCCCACGCCCCTACCGTTAAAAATCCTGGATTCACTCCTGTATGCCAATGCAATAATTTACACTAGATTCATCAATGCGAACTTTCCACCGGTTGAACTCGGACGGAACCAAAAGTGCCATGCAGACACACAAGGCTGTGAAATTAAAACACTGTAGAGTGTTTCTGAAACTCGATAGAAGCACGGAATAAAGAAAATAATCTTTCGAAAAAATGTTCTACATGTGAATGCTGTTAAGTTATGAGAATAGCGCTTTTAGCCAATCAACAAACGTCCTATTTCTTTTTAAAGGCTTGTGCATTTAATGATCTTTAATATATCGGTAATTGGCAAGTCCCCTAACTGTCCGCCATTCTGGACATATCATAGATGAGGTTAGCCAATGATAAGGGCGTATGTTATATAATCATTAGATTCAATTTCGCATTACCTTTTATTGCATTGGCTTTCCTTTTCGGAACTGGGCTTCCCTCTCCTTCCAGTAAAACAAAAGATAAAACGAACAGCGTCCAAAGGCAAATTAATTTACTTAGCATCGCTCAGCACTCCACCCCGAACAAGCTGCAAAATATAACATTAACTAAAAATGATGTTGTTAGGGGGGAGGGGTAGGAAGAATACTAGAAGAGTGCAGTGATGGGCGTGTATGGAGGAACTTACACTGTGCAGGCAAGGTAAGAACAAAGGTCGGACAAAGTGGTTATGTTTTTCTCTCCCTTATTTATATGATTCAAATGCCATTCTACTTAAGGGTTCACCGGACCAAAAGCAACTAGTCATCTTACGTTGTTGCAGAGTTGAGCTAGCCCGTGTTCCCGTTGCGTTCACATGAAGAAAGAAAACCTCTTTCATATATCAAACGCGGTAAAAGTAAGTTTTGTTGAATACAGTATAATACAAAAATGCTTTCCCTCGTAAACAGAATTAATCCGTCGTTGATTTTTGTTTTTCTTAGTCACCAGTTCTCTGATGAGGAGATACTGGCAATTAGGTGACTTTTATGTTACTGGTAACTGCAAAGTAATATGTATCGTTGTATAGAAATAACCGATTGGACAGTTTCGGTTCTAATCAAAAAATTATTCAGTTGGCTGTAGCTGGTAGATGGTTCGTATATCTACCGGGCAAGACCCGCGGTATTATCGACGAAAAGAAAGGTGAATAAAAATAAACCCATCCATTACAGGTGGCCTGGTTGTGAAGATATCTTTTGGAATTCGGTAAATAACCAATTTATCGTACCTGTTTTTCTAAATCGTATTGAGGCGGCTTTCCTTTCATCAATTGCTTGAGAGGTAGTTTGATTCGTGCTTGGAATCTAAATTCATGAGAATAAAGTAGCTAGGTGTTTGTTTCATTTAACCGGCCTAACCTCTCGGCGTTGTGTCGGTCGAAGTTCTTTCTTCCAGACAATGTTTATCCTTTGACAAGCGGATGTAGTCAAAACAAGCAGGCTGTTATGCAGAACGTTTTTAGAAGTAGCCGATCAAACGGAGTAAAAATAACCGTAAAGATACAGCGATTATAGAATAATTTCTTCAATCTGTAATGAAGTGTCCAGTTTTGTTTGTAACTTACAGACATCCATATTCGTTTGCTGAGAACGTTGATGTTAAAATCTTTATACATGGCATTCGAACAAGCAAGGAGAGGAGACAAAAAGAAATAGTTTGGTTTCAAAGAAAACCTACCTCTTCCAGAAGGTCCAAAATTTTCTATTTCTCGCGGCTGTCTATAAAAAGGTCATCGATATTAAAATCTTAGCGCAAGAAAAAAGGATATCATGAATTATTTAAACCTCGACGCTTATTGCCTCGCGGGTGTGTTATTAACCTGTGGTACACTTTAGACACCTGTTTGTGTTAATGACAGAGATATGGTCTTGTCTGTGTGCATCTCTATATATTCAAAAGAACACATAAGTTCTTTTGTCACTTTATACGCGTTAAAATAGAGCATTTCACTAACTTTGAAACAGAGACAAATGAAAAGAAAGGAAGATCTTCCAAAACGCCATGTTGACCTCCAGTTTCTCACACATTGTCAGCTGTTACGTTATTTATTTTTTCTCGGTTAATTTGGGACCTGCCTCACGGAACTATTTACCCCTGTTTGCCAGTTTAAGCAGAATTCTTGTTTTCTTTCGAGACCTTTCCTTTCCTTCGAAAGTAATTTCCTTTTGTTCTTAGGGTTGCCCTTGTTTATTTACTATGTTTCCTTGGCGTTCCTAGGTAATGGCGCGCTCCGTTTCTGACTTCGCGACCCCATTCTCGTCCCCAGAGCTAGACTGCGTAGCTTGGCGGCTTAAGCAATTTGAACGCGCGCACAAAGCGGCGAAGCTTGGGGAAAGGACAACTGGTTTCTCAGCTGTCTCTACACCCCAGTCTGCTGAGGGCTTCGCCGCTAATTTTCGCGGCTTAGTGCGCGCATTCAAATTGCTTAAATCAGCAAGCTATGCAGGCTATCCCAGAGCTGAACTAAGGTTGGCGCTGATCACATGATCGGGGAACTGGGAAGCAGCTAGTTTCGGTCCAAATTCTTACTTTTGACTTTCGTATTCGCGCAAGTTGGGTAATAGACCTTCATGAAAGGCATATAGAGACCAAATAGGTGTCTACCAACATATGCAGGTGAAATGAATGAACAGTTTGTAAATTGCGCTACAAAGTAGTGCTGCAGTACAAATGGATTGCATTGCATGGTTATCTTCTCAAGAAGCGCCATATGGAGAAGTGGGGGAGGGAGAAGGGGATAAATGGACTAGCGGCGCAAAAACTGGATTCGAAGGGGTTTCGCTAGCTGCTAGTTATTTTGGCAGTTAATTATTTTACAAAGTAATCTGTTGTCTCCCAATCAGTCAGATAGATAAAAGATTCATAAACTGAATGATTATACACAAGTTAAAGTAACTGTTTTTGTTTCATTTCTCTCCTACAAATTTAATACGCTTCAGATGCATCTTCAAGTGACTGTGACATCCAAATCAGCCCTCATAAAAACGACGCCTTTAAACGGAGTGGCGCCGATGAAAATGTTAGTCACGCTGAAGAAATAATCAGGCCTCGCTTGGAATTATATCTATGTTATAGTTAATTAGTCACTATTTCCTTTTTCTATTTTTATCTTATTATTATTATTATTTTTTTTTAACTGAACCACTTACTCACTTTTTGTGAGAGAGAGTGGGCATTCCAAAATTATGGTGAACCGATGGCCTCAGCTCACACCAACTGCCTTTTTTAGGACCACCCCTTCCGGGCATACTAGCATATATTCTTCGCTATTACATGTGAACTTCATAGTTGATGAACCAAATTAACCCCGTAGCGAGTTTATAGAGGGCAATTTTCGCGCGTTAGCCATTCGTTCGAGCATAATTATCCATAGCCTGCCACGTTTGTAGCTGGTTGCTTATCAATCTGCTCTTGATATACAAGATCTCAAGTGAATCAAGGTGACAGCCATTACGGAATGCATAGATTGACTTTTATTAATCTATTTCTATTGCTTAATTACATGTAACACTTAACACTAGCTACAAACAGTTAAATATTTGTCTCAGACATTTTGTAAATAGATATGTAACTGATATATAGTCGCGCAGTCTAGTTTCGAACCCTTTACAGAGCTGTGCTCCTCACCCTCTCACTCGATTAAGTTATTTTATAATTTCAACTTTATTTCTAATGAACACGCCAAACAAAGTGTGAAACTTAGAGCACTAGAAATAAATCACTTACTGGGTTTGAAAAGGGTCATGACGAGTAAAAAACAAAAACAAACATACGTATTACATATTTACAGACAGAGTTAGTTTGACCGATGAAATAACTGCACTAGCTCGCCAAACATAAACTACTTAGAATGACTTCTTGTATTTGCCATAATAACTCAGATAATCGCACTAGTGGCAATTCACAACAGCGAAAAATTACTGAAAAATGGTTATTGTGGCATGTGGTGTGAGATAGGAAATGGTTCGAGGCATCCTGATCTGTTCCCCGCCCCCAACAGATCGTGTATTTCTGTCTACATGTAGTTGCAACCGGCCATCCCTACCCAAATTGGTAGACTAGAAATTTTTTTTTTTTCCCGTCAGCCAGGGCCGTAATGGTAACGGCAATGGTTTACCGGCACTTGCCTCAGTCATTTGTTTCGTTTTTAGCCGAATGTTGTGTTTTTTTTTCCGGAGGGGGGAACTAAAGCACTGCTAAATACCTAGGAACTGTTCTCTGACTTCAGCCCTGTTAGCTGAACTGCTTAATCTAAGTGAATGAATCTTCCTCTTCGATTTTTTTTATATAGAAAATAAACTTTGAAGGTAGTCTCGCTGAGTAAACTACTAATAAAGTCTTAACTCTTTCACCTCAAACGTCAGATTGCGTTCTGCTTAATATCATATCTCTTGTGTCCGGTGAATCTTCCATAATATTTCCCTTGGAAGAAAATTGATATTTGTTCTGAATTTAGCTTTTGTAATATGTTACAAAAACGAGCAAAACAGGGGAAAGGCGATCTTAATTAGTTCTGAAGGATCTCCCCTGCTTTGCTGGGTGTTAGAGGGAAATTACGTTTATATACACAATAAGGGGATCTATCATGGCGCCCGTAGACAGATTAGATTCTGCCAGGAATTTTGTTTCTCTTGTCCCACGATTGCGGCAGAAGGTCCATTCCTGCACAACAGCTTCGCGAGCAGAGTGGTGCGCATGTGTCCGGACATGATGGCGCTGGACAGCTGGTCAACACGGTCTTCATAGGAACGAGGCCGGGTGAGGCAGCTTTAGTGATGGCATCCTACAGGAATTAAAATGAATGATATGAAAAAATGAATAACTCAACAAATAACTAAACCGATAAACGGGATCTAACGAATGAACGAAGTGCCGCCATCAACTTTCCACAGATCACATATATGCAATCCGAAGATGCCTTTTCGTTTGATTGATTGATTGATATGATTGATTGATTGATTGATTTACTGATTAATTGCTCACCATTGGGTTGTCTTGTACAGCTCCGTAAGGTAAGGGCTGTTGGGCTGATGGAGCAGGCTGTGGTAAGAATGGAGAACAACAGGACCACTGACATGACGGAGCACATGCAAGGGGACAAGAGCCTGGACATGTTATCCCTGTTAAAAGAGTAAAGAAGTGTTAGTTAATCACATTAATAACTGCATAGTATGAATAATATAGCGCTTGACATCTGCCATTGACAATTACAAGTTCAGTAAGGAAGTTTAACTCTGTTTTTTGTAAAATAAAGTGACTAGGAAATCGAATTCTCCCATTGGATAGCATGTTAATCTGTCGCTCTGTTTGTGCCAGTTTTTTTCCTCAGGGGTAGGGGGACGGTTAACATTAGTCTCATAGGATATAATTTTAGCACTCTATTTCCACAAGCAAACTCCTTTCTGCCTAAATTATGTTTAAAGAAGCGGTAAATAAACATATATATTCGATTTCAGCAGCTTTTATATGTAGAAATCTTGTCAAACCAGAAAATAATGCTTGTTAACTTAGCATGCATCAGTCAGTTTGCTAACATCATACGTGACCCTTAACTTTTCTCTGTTTTAATGAAAATAACCCTGATGATCTAGAGCGATCGATACAATTTCCTTTTTTTCACAAACACTTGTCCTTGCTCTGATCCATGTTACATGATAATTCACCCACCTGCTGTGGGTGCTACAGCAGCTGCAGCATCTTGATATGGGTAACCAGCGTAAGGTGATTGCTGGGGCCCCTGCTGGGGCTCCTGCTGGGCCGCCGCCTCCTTGGTTGGAGCCGGCAGAGCGAAAAGTTTGGGGATTGGTACTCTTTGAACTGAGGCTACAGGCTTGATGTCAAGGTGAACTTTGGCTGGCTTGTGAGGTTTGGGGTGAGAAGCTTTGTGATCAGATTGCTTATGGAATTTGTGTGTAGGCAAGCAACAGTCAAACCTGTAACAAGGGACAAGCATCGAGTTTTTGGTTTGAGTATCATAAGTTAAGCAGAAGTTGTAAGTTACTTAAGTGCTTGATGATCTATACCAGCCTAGTGATAATGAGCCACCCTTGATAAATAAAGATGACTTGAATTGACCTAACTTAAGTAGATCTGCATTAGTTTCCTAATCAAGTGGTGAAGTCCGTTTTTAGTGAAATAAAAATGATACCGTATAAGAGAATTAAAACAATTTATTTGATCCGTCTGAAGAAAAGGCATATAAAAATTTACCATAAAAGGATATGAAATTCATAGTTTTGAACATTAAAAAGTCAATAGTATAGTCACAGTACTCTGTTTCGGTGGCGTTCGGTGCGGGGGAAAAATACTTCATTGTATATAAGACCTGTTAGCTCTAAGACTGCCATACAAAAAAACTTAACGACTCGTTATAAGGAACTGTTCAAACAAATTTTTGTTCCTGGCAAGTAAATCATTAATGCGAACTCCATTTCATAAGCCTCCAATCCCCTGTCTCACTTTGCTGGCCATTTTTTGATTTTTTTGCCTGATATGTATACCCTTGCATATGAAACAATTATTGGATGATGTTTTTGTGATATCCGGATTAATCAAGGTTAAGGCTGAGGCTGATAACACTAACCGAGACCTTGATTATTTCGGGTGTTAGAAAAACCGAATCTAATAATTGTTTTATTATACATTGTTTTAAAGAAAATAACCACAAAAGGATTATCACAACGAACGCAGTTTATTTTCGACAAGCCATGTTCTTACTTCGCTGTCCGTGAACTTGACATTGCTCTTGGAAATCACGCATTGCGCGCGCAACCAACAGATTATTCACTTATCTGCTAGCAGATTAGTGAATAATCTGTAGGTTGCGCTGTTTCCCAGAATTAACTGTAGGCTTTTAGCTAATGAGGAGACAGATGGTGACTACAATGTATAATAAAACAAACAATCCACTCGCCTGCATACTGGCTTGCAGAGTTTCTGACACGGCGGAATACAAACTATTCCAATCTTTGATGGCGGCTTCTTGTGTACTGGCTTCTTTTTGTGATATGTTTTAACAGGTTTCTCCGGGGGAGGTTTCGGTGCTGCTGCGGGTGAAGCCTTACTACCTCCCAGATACACTGGCCGTATACTCAGATTTAAGGCCTGGGAACGACAACAATCTGAATGATAGGAAATAAGTCGGTGATATTGCATGCTCAGAAAAATATTATCTTTTACAACAACTCTACTCTTCTTGTGTTCTTGTTCAATTAGTTGGAGCGCAGCGCGAAAAACGGCGAGCGACAAAATATGGGAGAAGCTAAGCGTGGCGAGAGAAAGCTTTCTCTGAATGTGAATGCATTATCCTTTTTAAATTTTAACCGCTTATCTTCGTGGTAGGATTGTTCGACGCCTATCAAATTCGAAATCAATGAGGCAAAGTTTGTTGGTGTTGCAGCAACCTTTTGCGTCTTTAAGAAAAATGATATTTGAACGTTAATGAAGCAATAACATATTGACGATCGAGATGGTCCCCTTTATAGGCCTGAAGGAACCTGAAGGTTTCCTGGAGGTCTCCTTGCAAAGAAATAATGATGATGATGATGATGAAATAGCTTTCTAGATCATCCTAGCTTAGACTTCGAGTTGTGAAGAAAATAATTTCGTATGCACAAGGGAAATTCAAATTTTCCAATCAACACAGTAATCGAACCTTCAGTGAAAGCGAAATAAAGATTAAAGATTACTTAAGGGAGAGAACAAAATATGAAATATTAGTACGATGCAAATAGAGGAGCTGGGTTTATGAACAACTGAGTAATGTTACTGTTCGATAGAACTTTATAACGATAATTTGAGATATGTTTCGCTTGCGTTTTTTTCGTGGCGACCAGTAAAATGACTTCGTAAGAAGGAATCTATTTACTTTATGTTAGGCTGCGTGGAGTTGTTAAAAACGCTGCATTTTTATGGATGATTTTAAATGACAACTAACCTGGCTTGCAGAGAGGGGCACAGGAAGCAGAGCAGCCCTGAGCAGCGCAAGGGTCACCTGCGGGATACCCAACATATCCCATATCATACGGGTTAGCGGGATACTGAGGAAATGCTGGCTGGCTGGCTTGGAAACAGCATCCTGAATCACAGTTAGGATAACAGGACCCCGGACAGCCGACAGGGCACGCTGGAGGGGGAGGGGGTGGAGGGGGGAGGGAGGCCTGGTAACCGACCAGCTGGTTGAACATGGAGGGATCGTAGTTCGGTGCTCCGGGCGTACAACAGCTTCTCTTGCAGGAGGACAGACAGAAACGCTTGCATCCTGGATGACATTCCCACGCGGATCCTAAATCCAAATGAAACGAAAACCTGATTAGAAGCATGCTAGTTACGCACTGCTTTCGAGTGATATACATATCTTATTAACCTTAGGCGAGTGCCATGCTTGGAAAAAATCTGCCTAAGGTTTTCGCAGTTCGGACCCCAAGCGCCCATGCAAAGAAGGCCAAGGGCCGATATTCTACCAGTAAGGTCCCGAGCAAGCTTGGTTAATAAAATGTTTATCACCTGATGAAAAATTGCGGTTTGAAAAAGTCTCATGATCACGTATTGGAAAGACACCGTAAGAGCAATTTTTACTGGGAGTCGATTTAGCGTACACAGAGTCTGACGTTTTTTTTTTTTTTTTTTAGTGACTCTGCAGTTTTCCTTGCAATTTACGACTTCTCCTCGAGGAAGAGGCAAGAGAGTTCGATAGAAAAAAAGAAAGGATCTCATGTGGTGTTTTTTTTTTTTTTGCTAACGTTAGCTTTAAGCCACCAGAAAATCCCAGAGTGTGTTTAAACGGAATCATTCAGGACAGTGCCTGGTCCAATACTTAGAAATATCTGAAAGGCAATTGAGCAATCTGACTGATTGCATAATTTTAGCAATTGGTCCACTGAACTATCTCAGTCGAGGATGTAATAAAGTAAATGGTCCCACAAGTCAGACTTGAACAATGTAGTGAAGATTTGGGAAAAGTAACGTTTTAACATTTGATTGGCTTAGAACGGAACGTAACCCCTTTAACCTGATTGGTTATAGCAAGCTACACGCCTTGTTCATTTGGAGCTAATCAAGATGTTCAGACAAAGATCATATGAAAACAGCTCTATTTGACAAAAACTTAGGATGTGTTCCTTTCGGAAGATCCGCATCAGGATCATTGATCCAAGATTATTCGGATTATGGTGCGTCAAAGGTACCGATGAATCCTTGATCACAGTGGATCCATCGGTTCGTTGCTCCTTCATAATCCAAAGGATCTTTGATCATTGACCCTGATCCGCTTCATCCAAGAGAAATAAACCCTTACTTACTTTGAACTGGATTCACAGTGTCAATCACAACTGACTTCCTACCGCCATGTCCTACAAAATAGAAATAGGAATTGTTCGGACAGTTAGAAACTTGGAAAACCTTTGACAACCGAATACTTGCCTAGTTACTGAGGGGAACGTTGAGGAAGAAAGGGAAACGCGCCCAATCTTGTCTCGACAATCAATGAAATATCATAACCGGAGAAGTGCAGGTATATCCTTCACAAACCAGAAATGTCTCATTCCTAATGTAACTAACAGTGTGCACAGGCATTCAGCTAAGATAAATGCCCCTGTGATGGTCAAATATATTTTCACCCAAAATACATGTAGCACACGTGCACAAACAACACGAGTTTGTTCTTACCAGCTCTATATTTAAGGTTCTTTAAGTTCAAGCTGTTGGCAAAGGAATAGCATAATGCAAGGAGGCAATAGGAAATCGCAGCCCTCTTCATGATCTCAAGCCGATCGCCTTGTTGCCTGAAGAAAGGTAAAACGATACTTAAATATCTCACCAACATGAGCCAAAAAAATCACTCGTTTTGTTTCGTTTTGAAATTCTAACCTTGTGGGTGAACTGAGCTATTAAAGTTATGTGTACGCATGCGTGTTACTTAAAAACGGTTAAAGTAACAAAAGCGAGAGAAGATGACTTTCCCGGCGATAAAATGACGACAATTACATTTTGCTGTTTAAAGCCAAGGCCACATCGAAGGCTAGTGAAAGTCTCCTTGCTATAAACATACTAATATGCTACTATCGGGGAAACAGTTTCACTTGAATTATCTTAACGTAATAAAGCTGATGAAGTAGCAGGGACAGTAATTTTTTCAAAGGAAAGACAATCGTCGGAACTGGACCGCGAAAAGTTAATGTCGAAATTCATTGCGCGATCAAGACAGTAGCGACAAATACGCCAGGTAATAACTAACAACTGGTAGCTTGGAAGTAGAAAGAGGAAACAATTTTAGTGACTTTGCAGTTTTCCTTGCAATTTACGACTTCTCCTCGAGGAAGCTTTGCTTTGGGTACAAGACAAAGCTTCCGGAAGTCTAAGTTGTTTTTACAAATGAAGTATGCGGTTGAATTTTGAGGTGCAAGCAACCCTCGTGTTTTTTAGCCCATAGATCAGCAGGTTGTTGACACTAGATGAAATATTGTGATCTATACATGCTCGCGATCCGATTTCAGTAACTCCGCAGTTGATCGATATTGTCTTCCACTTTTATCCCTTTAAAAAGTAGTTCGCAATCAGCAAAAAAATAACAATAAAAAAGACATCTTCTTCGTTAACTACTATTCTCCCGCAATTTAATACAACAATGGCATTGTCTAAATCGACTGCTTCTGTTCAGTTTTGCCGGTGTTGGTCGAGAATACAGCGATTCTTAATTAAGACGATTTACCAGTGGCATAGGGCAACCATTCGTCACGGTTAACCACTCATTAAAATGAAGAACAAATGATCTTTCACAGTTATAACGTTTTAAAGAGGCAGAGGAAATGTTATAAGGTATTGAGTGATAATTTTTGTGCCCATTGACCATCGATATCCACGCCATTTTGTTACGGAGGTGAATCACTGATGAAAAAAGAACGTAGCATCACGGTGTGGTAAAAATCTGATTGCTGCGAAACCCTACAGAGAGATTAGCATTTTTCGCTCTAACTTTGGTGATCCCATTCCCTAATTAAGAGAAATCACATAGATCTTACCTTGGCAGCCTGTCAGGTCGACGCGGGATATGGTATTTACCTGCTTACAGGTGAATACTTTACCGTATCGAACAGTGAGGGAAAGACTAGGAACTGTTTAGAACAACATAAAATATTCAAAGGGTTTTTAACAGCCAAAGGATTATTTCACTTTATTTCGCACTTTTCGACGATTTAGGATATTTTCCAAGGTCTATGATAGCTTCTTAGTAAGTTAATCGTCAAACCTTTTACCTGGAGAAAAATAATAGTATTTTTTTACGGTTGACGAAGCTAACAAGCGTTGCAGGAAGTAAAAAGTTTAACTAGTCATTTTTTGTTTTGCTTCCATTGAAACAGTCAACAAATTTCACGCATTACGTCACGAGGAAGGTATTTTTTTACAGCGCTAGTGACTAGTCTGCTAGTAGCGGATTATTACATTTGAATCATGATCAGTTTCCTTGTCACAACAAGGAAAGAAAAAACCCTTGTAAGTTGTAAGATGAAGACCTGGGATTTTTTCGTTTTTTCAAATGATTTATTAGGTTTTTTGTGTCAACATGATATGTTCAAACCGATTGTTGTACGAATCAAATCTCTTCTTTCAACCGACACTGCCGTAAACAGCGAATAGCCTGGAACGAGAGTGAGTGCGCAAGTATTTATGGGACTGTATGGGAACACGGGAAAATGTAACTCACAACTACGCCAAAAAATTGTCACTTTTCCAAGCAATAGATAGATGCCATGCAAAATATAAGTTAAAAGGAATAGTCATCTCTGGAATTAAAAGTGTGCAATATTGAAGAAGTACCTTGGTCCATCAAATGAAGTCGTACAAGAGGGTCATTTGAATAGTGTCTAAGGATAACTATGAGCAAGAGATTAATCTCTTGCTATGAGCTGATCAAAATTTTGATCGGCTTGATGGGAATGTCGCATTTAACTAATCGATATCAGCTACCAAGATCTGTGGAATTTACTAATAGCTGAGAAGTCTGAGAAATGGAAAGAAATTTTAAATTGATAGCCAAGAAACCCCTGAAAATTTACTGATCGATGAATGAGATTCCAACATTCCCGTTTTTCAGGCCCTCTTAAAAGATCGAGTCGACTCACTTTTGTAGTTGACTGCATTTCATGCCTCGCTCATTACCTTTACAGTTGACTCAAAAGCTTTAGTGTAATACACATTGCGTGTCCTCTCCCTTAATTAACCCGCGCAGGTTTCCATCAACCATGTCCCGCGAATAAAAAGCCCCCACCAGTAATGACATAGAAAGTACAGACGAGGAGTTTGAATATACAGTAGAGATCCCTTTATTAAGTTTTTAAGAAATTAAAAATGAATAAATCTTAAAATCGAATTATTTAGAGGTATAAGGGGAAAACATGCACAAGCTAGTGTCCGCTATTGAAGTCATAGTTGGCAGGCCGATCCCTAAGAACACTTTTTAGCATGGTCAGTTTACTAAAGTAACGTTTAACGGAAAATCACAACACAAAGCTCTAGATCTCAACCGCTACTAAGTTTTTTCTTGCAATAAATATCCTGTGAAGGTGAATTAATCAACATGACACGAGCGTGGGACAAAGAAAAATTCTGAGTCCCCGACAGGAATCGAACCCATGACCTCCCGAACACTGAGCTACGAGAGCTCATGGAGAGCAAGGTCATTTAACTGAGTTCATATATGATAGGTGTCCTGCTCTCCATGAGTTCTCGTAGCTCAGTGGATAGAGCGCCCGCTCGGTGTTCGGGAGGTCATGGGTTCGATTCCTGTCGGGGACTCAGAATTTTTCTTTGTCCCACCCTCGTGTCATGTTGATTAATTCACCTTCGCATTTCATTACCGAACTTAAAATTCACCATCTTTATTAACTTATCAATAAATATCCTGGTTAGTACTTTGCATGAAGGGCACGTGACTAGCCTTTCGTGATGTCCGCGTGGAATCACCGCTGGATAGCATAGTTGTTTTTTTAGGTTTCCTGTCTCGAAGTTGTAAAAATATTATCCCTGTAGTTCTCTTGCTTAATTCCCAGCTAAACGTGGGCGGTTCGCAAAACACACCGCATAATACGAAAACTACAACGTACGATACCAAAACCGTACAATACGAAATCAACACCACGAGGCTAGTCTCATGAAACCGTGACCAAAATTTGGATTTTTCTGTTAAACATGGCTAACGCTAAAGATCTTGCTCAGCACAGGTTATAAAAAGTTCTTTAGCCTGCTTTCGAATCTTTTGAATTCAATGCTTAACCAGCTTTTTAGGAGTAATACAACAACTGAACTTGCAGGAAGGCAGACAAGCTTTCTGGCATTTTACTTCACAGACGTGACCTTTCTTCAAATGTTTCTTGGAAATCTTGCTCTTCTTCTTAAGGTTAGCCTTGGCCAGTTGTTTCTCGAGCATTTTCACAGTTTTCTTTGGAACAATGAAGGGTGTTGTTATACAACACAACAAGTCACATGTTGGCAGGCATCTGTGTTGACAGACAGGTTGACAAGCCCCCCAAGACTGCCCTGGGAGAAAAAATCATAAAAAAAATGATATAAACGGACGTTTGGGACGTCACATTTGTCTATTTTCTAACCTCCACAGTTCTAACCAATTTGATATCTCGAGCTCTTGAAGGTAAGTTGAAATTCCTCAACTGATATAACATCAGCAAGTCGGTAAAGTTGATACGGAGAAACGTGATTGGTTTCATTCATACGAGTTAAAACGCTACTTGAGACTGTTCCTCTGAGGTAATGATATGTTCTTACTTTACGTGGGCTAGGCTCTGTCGAAAATCATTCAATTTCCCCCAACGATAGAATTGCTTTCATACAATGTCAGCATACTGTTACATGGATTATTTTTATTCCCATGCGATAGTGAAAATTATGCGCGAGTGACAACAAGCCTTAAGAGACAATATAACATACTAAAAGACTGGGGGTACTCCTTGGCCTTTGCATGGGTATACCTTAGCTTGTACTTAATATATACTTACTTTTGTTTCTTATGTATGAAGAAACCAGTATGCGTCCGGTTTCTTTGCCAGACAGTCTGTTCACATCAACTAGTGAGAAAAAATAACTTTATCAACATTTGTTATTCAGAATTTAGCTGCTAGGTCTAATAAAGGCAGTCAACTGTAGCTTCAACGACCTACTCAAAACTGAGAAAGACTGATTGGTGCTGATTATTTCATGATTATTTAAATTCAAGGATGGTATATTTAAAGGGAGGGGGGGGGGGTTAAAAATTAGGCTTTGGGCTTGTGATTATTTTGCTATCGCACTACGCACGCGAGCATTGCGCATCGGCGAATAGCTAACGATGTCGCAGCCAATAAAATTCGAGCATTCGTGAGAAGCCAAAGCGCGGGGCTGGTTAGAAAATCTCTGTATTTTTCTTTGTGGAGACCTGGAATTTTGACCTATGGAAGCAAACACAGCAGGATCTTAATCATAATGAGAACATTATGGTACTCTGAACATTCTAGAAACTTTGCTCCAGCGTGACTGTCTAGAGAACACCGAGTTAGTTGTGAAATTAAAACCTGAAAAAAAAAAAAAAATTCAGGCTTGAACGGGATTCGAACCCATGACCTCTACGATACCGGCGCAGAGCTCTACCAATTGAACTATCAAGCTATCGCAACAGCTTAAGCTGTTCATATAAATGCGATGATCGATCATGTCTTCATATCTTTCTCCGCAGTTCAAATATATGATCTTTCATATATTCACGGAAATCGGTAGCTTTAGATCGACAGAATTCAGTCATCCTTACATTCATAGCCTTTACTATCCTTCTCCAAGCTTTCCTTTGACTCTCTTTTGACCACGTTGACCAAAGCTGTGAAAAGACAATTCAAAAAGATAATCACCTCGCGTTACCCATTGTTACTTCAACCGAAAATCAACATGATTAAAACGACTGGGTAAACAATATGTTTATTATAACGATAGTTAAGCATTGCTGTTTTGTCTTCCCTGGATTGTTAAATTTTTATTGTTTACAGCTTTTGCAGTCTCTTCCCCCAGAGTCGCCAACCCACCCTAATTTGAGGGGCCCATTGGCTTTAAATTTGTTCAACTGCTCATTTTAATGAGCAGCGTGTCAGGGCTAACTTGAATCGATATCCAACAATACTGTTTCATCACCGCACCTAAAGGTCTTATTTATTTATATTTATATATTATAATTCACCAGGGTTTCCCATCACTGTGAATATTTAAACATCTAGATATAAAATACATATATAGTAACAAGCCCGCTTTTTGCGCTTACAAGATGGCTACCACGCTGTGACATATGGGCTCCATGTGTTAGATCCGTTTGTTTTATAAATAGTTCGCGGTGCTCACAGGCGGTCGGAAAAGATCGTGGCATTTCTCGGTAAAACTGATTTAGGGACGGACCATTAGAAAAGTGATGGGGGGGGGGGGGGGGGGGGGGNGGGCGGTGGGACTTTTTCAGCTTGTAGGAATTTTTTTTCGCGTCTACTGCCTCTACAGGATTTTTTTTCTGGGTCAAGTCCCCTGCAAGAATTTTTTTTTGTGTGTGGGGAGAGGGGAAGGGGGGATTCTACTGTCGCAATCTTAGTCTTGACACTCGACACAATCTGATTGCCTGGAACAGGTTTCAAAAAAATATTTTTTTTATCTTTCACACAGTCGTTTTGCTTTACTGTCAAAATTATACTCCGGGGGAAACATAACCAAGCATCAGACACATTTTAAAAAGTGCTATTGCCTAACTGATGGGGCTGCGTTGCATTTTTGTTTGATCAGGCTTAGGAAAATGTGAATTTTGTTTATTCATTCCCCTTGAACCCGGGGCGGTAAATCAAGGTTTTGCCTAGGATTCTGCGAGTGGCCGTCCAGGGATAAATATGGGGGCAAAGGGCCTATTCCACTAGGGGGTTCTGGGGGCATGCCCCCTCAGAAAATTTTGCAAAATTGAAGCGTTTTGGGTCATTTTCCACGATTTTCAGCCGATAAGTTTAATGCACCGATTGGACTTGAATGATTTTTCGTCATTTACTCCGTCAAAAACCTTACACAGATTGAAACTGCCCATACTAAACGCGTCAGCTGTGTTATTAAACACCTCCATGATTGTCTTGATTACGAGGTTTGTCCAACGTTGATCTTAATGGCTGTGTTATATGTTGGGGAAGTGTCACGGTTCGCCGTGGGTGTGCACATCTGTGTCCACAATCGTCATTTGTACACGTCAGGTGTGAAATCACTCCTATATATCGAGGCTCTCAAAACACGGCATGTGCTTGCTTCATTGAAAACGAATCAAGCAGGATGGCTGTTTATAGCACATGTTTTTTTATCACTTTTAAGCCATGATTATCCATAAGAGTTTTTCTGTCAGGGTGTTTGGTTACCAGTGTCCATGATGACGTTGCTGCGCAAATTGTATCAGCCTTGAAAGGGAAAAATGTCCGTTTTCCTAATTGTAGAGAAAACCAGGTGAATGGGGATTCCACCAGGACCAAGGAATTAAAACTGCAGTATAAAGTGGCTGCCAAGTTGCCCTTCAGACAAATACAGTTCTTAAGCCCGAGAGTGTAATTCACTCTGCAGGATTTTTTTTTTCTTCACTTCTTCTTTGCACGATTTTTTTTTCAGTCACCCTCCTTTGCATGAATTTTTTTTTTTTTTGGCTTTTTCTCCATCNCCCCCCCCTCCCATCACTTTTCTAATGGTCTCTTAGACCAATCAGTTTGCCGTATTTTTTTAAAAGTCAATTACCTGTGGTTAAAAAGGAAATACTACTGCGAATTCTTCACCATTCATCGCTCTTGCTCTCAGTCAGTGCGTTACCGAAAAGATCATTGTCGTGAATTGCGCGTGTGTCAACAACTTCGACCAGTGGAGGAGTGTCGTGTGGACAAGGGTAAAGAGAGATTAAGAAAAAAGTATTTGATGAAGAGTCCACGCCATAAAAAGAGGACATTTTGGAGGTGAAAGTACAGGTAAATTGCATTTGTTTGGGGCACGGTGCTATATAGAGCATGTTGACCTCCAAAACAATTTGGTCTTGGGGATTTATTTCAAATCAATGGCATATTACACTAAGAAATCTGTGGGGTTTCTCCGAAGGAAAAAAAAAAAAATTCTCAGGAGAGTAACGTTAGCAGTATTAAGTGATCAAATCGTGAAGATATCAGATTGCCATTCGACGACAACTAGAATGAAATAAAGCATACTCTTAAGGCTAAAACGGATATTGACCTCTACCTTAGTAGGCTCGATTTCCGCCGCTTTCTCGAGTCCGGTCTACGTTCCTCCCCGAGAAGAGACGGCTGGACGTGTGAGCGGCAAAGCATGTCTGTGACGTAAATTCATAATGTAATTCTTGCGGAGCTTCAGGTAGCCGGAAATGTGATCTAATGACAATCATAGGCAGGCCCACATGACGCCTACGGCTCGTAAAATTTGTGGGGTTTTCGCCACTTCTTTTAACTTTGGCCCTCCAACCTATTTTGTTTCACATTATTGTCGCGGAAGGGCATTACATGCTGTGTTCTATAGAAGAGTTTTTTTTTAGAAAAAGTAGAGCATAACTGTTTGACTATGCTGTAGCAACTGTCATGTCAAAGGTCACAGATATGTTGGTCTGCATGGTGTTGACACCATGTTTATGTTTTGCTAATTCGGTTTGCTTTGGCTCATTTGGCTCATATTTGTTAAATATCCCACTAATGCGATCGCACTTCATATCGCACAACTCCTTTGCGGCCCTTTGCTACTGCGAGAAAGCTAATTTATGCAGCCTGCTCGATTCAGGCAGGCACATTTGTTATTGGTTGAAATTAACAATGCCAAGTCCACGAGTCCAGCCGTGAGTTCGGGGGAGGAGCGCGGGCTCTTTTCCCGAACAGCGGCTGGTAATCGAGCCTATTACCTTAGGTGCTGTATAAAGTACGTCAATGTAGATGTCTTATGGTGTATTTCACTCAGAAATTATGGAGATATGCTGAAAACAAAAAAAATTATTTACACCAGTGAAAATTATGAAGTTGTTTCGATCAAACTGCAGCAAGACAGCCTGGAAACACAACATACAAATTGGTCGTGATCTCATAATAATTTAATTTTGAGACTGAGGAATCTACCTTCTCTCTTATTTTTAGAATAACAAAAAACAAAAGACAATGTTTAAAGTAGGTAGGAAGTTAAAGTCTGCATACGAGCCAAGTGGCCCATCAGGCCGGAGCTTATCCCGGTTTCTGTAGCATGAAGCGACTACAGTCGAACCTCCGGTTGCGATCACGACCGCCTATCGAAAGCGACCGCTTCTGCTTATTATCAGCGACCAGGTTTCCAAAATACCACACGTTTTCAAGTCAAATCACTATATTTGGAACCTCTCGTAAGCGACCGCGACCACTTTCAGAGCTAAAAGTTTGAAATTTTCTTTTGTTTTTCACCTCTCGTAAGCGACCACTTGACAGTTAATAGAGCGGATATTGGATGATAAGGTGTTGAAACATTATCGCATTCCTGAATAGTACAAGTCAGAGACGGAAATTTATCAATGGGAAGAACCGTATTTTTTAGCGGAGCTCCGGCGACCCAAAGGGCCGCCAAGCGGAGCCCCATACTCATATAGGAAAGAAAAGGAAACCCATGAGTTGATTTTCTCATGGTTATCATGGCTAGCGGTGTTGCTCGTGGGCGCGTACGCACGACGGCGACGACGACGACGACGATGACGACGACGGACTCGCGCAACATGGCGGCCATACTCCAAATAATAGGTTGACAGTTACCATATGGTAATGAGGCAATTTTTGACCCAATGTGGTGTAAGCTCTCGTAAGCGGCCACCTCCCGTAAGCGACCGCATAGGCTTTCACATTTTGGGTGTTCGCTGTCACGATAACAAGAGACACTCATCACTATGATTTTACAAAATTATAAGTTGGACTCCGAAGCAAATGCAGTTCGTGAACAGTTGTCCAGATGTTAATTTGCATGACATTAAACCTCCTGGTTTCCAGCAAGAAGTGCTTATTTCACATAACTTTTACCTGCCCTTTTGCGCTAATAGATTTGTTCATCGGTTCTTTGAGTCCCAATATTTGGCTCGCTCCGATTTATGACAGTTTCAGTATAAGAAATGCAGTTTTGGAAAGCTAAGATTTCGTATTTTCAGAACTCGAATCGTTCATGCTTTTTAAATGCAAAATAGCAGGTATTGTTTAAAATATATCCGTGTAAACAGCCGTACGTTTGAAGTTTTCAATAGAACTGATGTCAGTCATTTCAATGGAATACATGTTTTATATATTATTAGTTAAGCGAGATTTTGAATATCAAAAGACCATCTGCTCTGGTACAACAATGTACAGTAGACAACACGTGCGTTTTCGATAGATTCAGACTTAGACTCTTTACTGGAATCCAGGCAGATGTAAGCTTTGTTACTTTAAATGACCTTAAATGAAGATTGGGCTAACCAATCGGATGTTCTGTAGTTATCAGCCTGCACGTGTCTTAGTGTTAAAGTCTTTGTACTCATTTGGTATAAGCGAACACCTATGTCTACCTTAGACGATATATAAGCAACGCGAAAACTGTTGTCAGTAAATCGATTACCAACGTTTACTCTGTACGCGTGTATTAGCTGTGAAGTACCGATGAAGTTTACTCCACTGTTAAAGAAGTTGCTGTATTCCAGAAGAAATCTCAGTGTTTACTGCCGTTTCCTCGCTTCTTGGGACAAAGAAACTAGACCCTGTACCTCTGGCATCTTGTAACGAGTTCCGGCTGTCAAGCGGTTTGCTCTGCAGAGTTAAGTTATTCCCCGTTCCCGTCCAGCGTCACCGCTAGCGAACCCCTGTTAGCTAGTACTTCAAACCTTGCGCCCTCGCAAAGTGTTCCAGCCACCAGATCCAATATTTATTGAGCTCGCTAGTGCTGGTAAAACCGCCCCACAGGCCTAAAACCATTGTCCTTACATCGTTTATGGGCGGCTAGACTGTAAGAGTATTTCAACTCTCCCCTGAATGGGATGCTAGTCCATGGTATGGTTACACCAGCATATTAAGCTTGCCGGTACTCATTTATACACCTGGGTGGAGAGAGGCGCTGTGAGAGTTAAGTGTCTGGCCCAAGAACACCACACAATGTCCCCGGCCAGGGTTGAACCCGGACCGCTCGATCCGGAGACGAGCGCACTAACCATGAGGCCACCGCGCCCCACTATAAACTGGATCGGAGTCTAAGACATGCGCAGCTCGTGACATCATTAAAGGTCTGTAGCATTCGCTTCCCCAGAGCCTCCGTTTCGTTTGGTCAAATGGTCGACGAAGGGCAGAGCACTGAAAAATCCGTAACGAGCTCGTGACAAAAATGTTAAAATGGATATTGCTGGGGACGACAGTGGGGCTCTAGATGCTGTAATATAACGTTAACAGTTAAAACTAAACCCATGGATTCTTCGTGAAAATCTCACGGTGCCCGAACATGCCGCCGTGCTCACGGCGACTTACTCACTGGGACACATTCACGTGGCACTATTCGTTGAATCTTCATACTGTACGCAACGATACGAGTCCTCAATGATGTTTTAAAGATTTGTTAAAATGATATTACTCGGTGACTGCTTAACTTACTGACTGAACTCTCAAGTGCAGTCAGCCTTACCTTCAAGTTTTTTATGAGCCTGGTGTTTTCTGCTTTTGTCGTTTGTCGAAGTGTACGCCCTGAATGTTGACTTGAATTGTTTTTCGAGCTTCTTGATGGCTTCGGAGGTTTTCTGCTCTATAATGTGCTCCATTGCTATGAAAAAAAAAATAATAATAAGATAAAATAACTAAGTAGATTGGCACATTCGTTATTCCAGAACCCGAGGCAAGGTCAAAGTTTCATTGGAAATAAACAACTTACTGAACTTAAACTGAACACTAAAAGTCAAATAGCTTAGTACTGTATTGCAAGAATTACGTGATGGCAGAACCTCTTTTAAACAGCGTTGATTGGATTGATGCCGAGACTCTCCTCATCCTTGTGCGTACCTGAACCGCTTTCCTAATGGCGTGACAGGCACTGTGTTTCAGACGGTGAAAACACAAAATTTGTACAGCGGTTCATCTCAAAAATTGAGTTGTTTTTCGATGAGAAAAAACCGACAAATCCAGGTAGCTTGTGTTTTTAGTTCGGGGGAAGGGGGGTGGGAGGTGGCGAAAAGAGTTGCAGACCAATCATAAACTGTTTCAAGAGCTCTTCCAAAGCTCAAGTTTTTGTTCGTAATGCCATAAGCCTTATCAAACCCAACGCCGGGGGAGACGGGGGCGGGGGNGGGGACGGGTACTCTAGAAAGTTCTACACGAGGAGGCTCCGCCCGAGGTCCAACCCTTTACCCTTTTGTATACCATTTTGACAAGAAAAGTACCTCTTTCGTATATCTTAATTAATTGAGGAAAAGGTATCCCTTTCACATGCTTTCATAACTGACCCGTATTATGAATAAATCGACAAAAAAGTAGCACTTCTTAGCATTTTCATATAGCTCCTAATAAATGAAATGATACAGTCATAAGGTGCATCTGTTCGAAGTATTTTAATTAAAATAACTAACTAACCCAACCTTTTCATATACCTCAACTTGTAGAATCCGTACCCTTTATATACCTGAAGCCTGAAAAAGGTACCCCTTTAATTTGGGGCGGAGCCTCCCCGTATAAGCCATTACAAGGCGTATCCTTGCGGGGCCGAGCTGCTAGTAGTCTACCCGAATTAATTTTATCATTACCATTCTTGATTTATCACCATAACCTTACCTTTCTTATCTATGGTGATTTCTCCCTTGTCATGGGTAGCTACTTTGGATTTAGAGTACACTGCTTCGGGAAGATGCACCACAAGCAATGCTGTGAAACAAAAGCTGGCAAAGCTTGCAATTTTTGGAAGCCTGGTCATTCTAAATACAGAATCATAATTTACACATTTAGTTCTAATGAGTAAAATTACTATATGAGTATACCAGTTAGTCTTACCAGGGAACTTAATGACGGCGACGGCAGCGAAAACGTCATCAAACAAAAGGTTTAATGTCTTTAATGAGCAAAACAATGGCAATGCACGTGCATTATAGATCTTTGTACATTTTGCTGCCGTCCTCTGCAAAACAACAACGTGAAATGACCAATTTCTGCGTATTTTAGACAACACAGGCAACGGTGACAACTTTTTGTGTATTTTTTTTTGGAATTGATTGCTCGCATTACATATTTAGTTTGAGCAGGTTTTCGGACAGATTGGCGTACTGAGGAGATTCAAATAGTAACGAAGTTCGAAAGTAAAATATAAATTCATTTCTAAGTAGGCGTCTTCCCTGACGTCGCCGTTGTCCTTTCGTCTTTACTGTAAATTCCGAGAAAGATCTCAACTACGCTTCCTTCAATTTCATATATTGACTTGTAGAAACCGTGACTGAATAACGTCTGATAAGTTCATATTTTGACAAGCTGGTCAATCATGGAAAGGGACATTCTGATTGCTTTCGTGAGCACTTCTGATTTTAAATCATGTCGCGGCTAAGATGGACTGACCACGAATTAGTTTCCATGAAATAATACGCTTTTTAATGGGTATATGCAATCGCCTGCTCAATTAATTAGCAGGCACGTGAGAATCTTGTTGACGATCGTCTGGAAACAAATGTACCTTTTGAGGTCAGAAATACACAATCATAAACTATATTTTAGCTTAACTAGCCTGTTAATCACTTAGCAAGATTTTCAATGAAGGAATTGTCACCCACCTCGAGATGTCATGCTCAGGGAAGTCAGCACAAATCAGTTTTTCCATAATTCTAAACACCGTTATATGACCCCTTGTTTGTTCGCTTACAGGTGATGACATGCGATATCAACGCCGCCCTTTTAATTGATCAGTTTAGTACAGAATGACAGTGAATGTTTCCCTCTTTCATTTCGAAAGACTCCCATCTCCCGACCAAATTTAACAGGAGTACAAACTCGGCCACTCCAATGTTACTTCAAATTTAGATAAACAGAGCATATAAACACCAAACGACTGGTGTGGGGGCCTTGTCGAGTGGATAGGGACAAGATTTTTTACTCATTTCACAAGCAAACTAAAAGCGAAATCGTAGGAGGTCATTTTTGATCATGAAGATTTTTTCTTCAGTTGCATATTTGTACAATTAAATCAGTTATCAAAGGGAAATAGTAACCACTGTAGCAACACTTCCCTCCAAAATTCAAGAAATTAATGACGTTTACCTCACTTCAGTTGCCAACCAGCTGGAACAAAACAATGCTCTGTGTGTTGTATGGGCCCAGGTGCCAATTGTCCTTGTCTTAGCAATTTGTCTCTATTCAGCGCTTAATGTAGCACTTCAAAATTTGTTTTATCCGAGCTAGAGATAGAAGAAGACAGTAGAAGATTCCAATTTATTTAACACTATAGAATTAGTGACGTGATTTGATTGGATGGAATCTAATGACACGAAATTAACTTTTGTTTTATGACAGGTTATTCACAACAAGCCAGGCAATCTTCCCAATGGCGTTGTTCAAGTGAAAGAAACGCTCACCATGGAAAATCGCTCTTTGCCTACATTGCCACTATAATCGTTTGCGGGATACACAAAGAATAAACATTTCAAAGTCACAAAGAAACTCGTCGGATCATCAAATCTCTCATTGACGGGTAAGTCGAGAAATGTAACAGGTACTCTCAAAAACAAACTCTTCACGAGCCGGTGTAGTATCTGAACAGCGGCTGCGAATGAAAACCATGTGGTTCAACAACCTCATAAAAGGCCCAAAATGTTTACTCCTGTTTCATTAGAGTTTCCGATATTACTCAAGAAATGGCTGATAAAAATGTTCATTTCGAGAGGTTGGACTTCTTCCCACACTCACTCTACAAGACACCACGTAGGAAGTTTTGATACCATATCTGACAGTCTATCGGTGCGCTGTAGACCGAGGGAGTGTGGGTGGGGAGATGAGATGGTATCTCTGGAATCTCCCGCAAATTCTTGCCAAGCCATCTTCCCAGATAAAATGTGCGGTCTATACGCAAGAGACTTTTCGTAATTGACTAGTAATCAAAGCCAAGTTCATGAACATGTATTGTTATACCTTCCAACACAAATAGTTTTCTGATTGGACGAGTCCCGTGTCCTGTGTCAACTCCCTAGGGAGACAACAACTTGAACTTTTGCAGATTTGAGTGTCAGTCGGAGTCGAAGCAAATATATTTTTTCGCAGTTCTTATTTGTATTTCTGAGTTGGGAGGTATAACAAAACACTTAATGACTGGCCCAACGGGAAACAGTGAGTTTTTTCCCCTCTACCACTACCATGACTCCCCGCAGGTACGTCTCAGAGAAAAAAATAGCCATTCGAAAAAACAAAGCAACGTTTTGTCGTTGAAAACTTGTATAAAGCTTGATTAGTCGAGTTTCGCTCGCCAGTAAAGGGATGGCTCTTTCAAAATAGGACACATAAATTGAAATATATCGAGTAAAAAAGTATGCTTTTAAGTATACTTGGTAAGTCTAAAAATGAAAAAACTGATTTTGTTTCAGCTCAAATTTGCCACTGTAATAATAAATCTATAGTCTCCCACTACTGCCAACATTCAATGGGAAACAATTATAAGAGATGACAGTGAAAGCTCAACTACCCAACGCACTTAAGTTCCATGCAAAAATAATCAATGAAAAAGCGCGTAAGAAACGATCTGTTCATAAAAATTTGCATGATATCAGAACAAGCTTTTGCATTTGGGGGCTGTTGCGTCGAAGGTCTCGAAGGACTACATCGAAGATTTTGTGACACGTCCGATGGCTAACACTGAGAACTGGACGTTTCTTCGATTTTGAGCGGAGTAAAAAATATACTAGCAAATTTAACAATGAAACTTGTACCGAACGAACTGCTTCCGCGCCCTGGCTGGCAAAAATTGTATCGTAAAATCTACTGGGAAAACCCGCTTAACAGAATAACTGGTTGGGACTGAAAAGTCGTCTCAAAATGGCAACTACAGGAGCCTTCTTCTGCTGTAGCTGTCTCTGAAGAGCAAATATCATCAGCTTTTTTCAGCTCTTGAGCTGAGTACAGCTTCAAACTTTGCACGAAATTTCACATCAGAAAAACAAGTTTGGAGAACTTAACTGGTGTACCAAATGCAACTAGCATAAAGTAGCTTGAAAATGCTGCCCTCGGCCTGCGGCCTCGGGTAGCATTTTCAAGCCCTCGGTCACAGTTTTTCACTATACGGACCGACCCTAAGCCGGCCAATAATAACATATATAGCTTGGCTGTTAAATATTAACGTTTCAGTTATTGATTGTTTTGTCAGGTTTTCGTGTCCCCCTTTCCCTCTACTCGCTATCCTTCTGCCATTCCTCAGCTGGGTTCAGAAAAGAGAATTTAGACAAGTTTGGCGCGTGTTTCGACGTGTTATTCACTTAACGAGAACGGTAAGGCAGGTAGCAGAATGAGTGGTCGTCTGTTGTCTGATATAATAGCATGTTCACATAACTATGGAACTATGGAACAACGTAGTAGAGGTAAAGCTGGATACTAAGGCTTGCTTAAGGGGAAGGACGTGTTTCTTTGCATTGAAGGTTTGAAGTTGTTAATTAAGGGAAATCAGTTCCATTCTTAATGAACACTGAGTCACGCACAATGGCTTGCATGGGATTTGAGTAAATTTCTAATCTCTACTGAAACACCATCCATAAAAGCTGTGATCCGTGACCGCTCATCTCTAGGTGACTTCTCTTACAGTCTGATCAGCGAACAAGTAACGCTTAAAACTTTCTAAAAACGGAAAATCAACCAATTAAACGGACTAAGACTTACATCTCTCTGTACACTGTACTAGGGATACTCTCTGTACAACAGGTAAACTGCACAATGTGTGTCTGTTGAACCAACGGTAAAAAAAAAATGACCGAGAACATTTGAAAATGTAAATTAAGTTCGAAATAAAAATGCAAACAAAATAGGGGGAACCCAATTAACTACCATTGTCTTATTGATGTCGGTTTTCAAATTCCACCCCCAATTGAAACATCAGTAGATCTATCTTGTAACAAAGCTAGCAGAAACTAATACGTATCTTACAATGCTGTTTATTCAGCTAATGTAGTTGTTGCACTTCGGTAAATAAACAGTAGCTATGCAGTAACTGAAGACATCGATTACTAAATCACAAAGCTTGGGCTAACATGAATGCGGGGTCTCGGGGGGATACTCCCAGAAAAATTGGGTGGGGTTGTGCGGCCTGCTTCCCAAAACCCTTATCCTATTTATGACCAAAATCTGCACTTTTCCCCACCCTATTTATGACGTGACCTAAAATTCGATACTCTATTTATGACTGCTGTGGCCTGCACAGTTGCTCTTAACATAATTTATGAAGGGCTTTTGTCGATGGTCTTATCGATGATGATGAAAAAGTAGCTTCTTCTAAAAAACATACTTAATTTAAGACCAGAGTGCAAAAACCATACCCTATTTCCGACCAAAATGGCCAAAATCGATACCCTATTTATGACCAAAACGGCTGAAGAACCATACCCTTTCGCACATACCTTTATAGCCCATATAAGGGAGTACCCCCCCCCCCCGGGTGTGGGGTGCAGTACTCACCTAACGAACACACTTTTTAGATTACAATATGTCACAATGCCATGCCATATATATTCTAATCTATTATGGCTTGTAATTTACTGCAATGTGGGAAACAAAATTAGAATAACTTAGGTTCGATCGAGTATGTTAATTCGTATATTTAACAATTAGATTATGAGCTCGAGACTTCTGCCTCGTCAGCTCTATCGCATAGAAATGGAGAGGGAATAATCTAATTGTTTGAGTATAAATCGTTCAAAACTTTATCTAAATCCTCTTCACACATTCACACACGGCGAAAACGCAGAGAAGCGGCCACCATGTGGTTAACAACCCCACAATGCGAGGCTACTCCGTACTATCTAATTAACAAATAGATTCCCTGTAGTGGTGTGCGTCTGTTCAGTAACAGATCACAGATGACGTCAACATGTGGTAGGAACAAAACATTGGCGCACAAGGCGATAGCCGAGTGTATCACTGATGGTCTTACAATATTTTGACGACTTCTGTGATCTTTTACTGAACAGACGCATTGCGACATGGAATGGACTTGTTTTATGTACTAAAGAAATATAAAGATTGTCAATGACGTCATGCTCGCGCCTATCCTCAAATAGATCATAGAGTAAAACGCAATCAAAATGCGAGAATAATGTGACTTATTATATAATAAACAATTAGATTATGAACTCGAGATTTCCGTCGCGTGATAGTTTTGCCCTCGTCAAATCAGTATCACGCATAGAAATCAAGAGCGAATAATCTTATTGTTTTAGTATAAATCTACTAGTCGTTCAAAACTTTATCTAAATCCTCTGCACAGACAATTCGAAAACGCTAAGAAGCGGCCATCATTTTGTTAACAAGGGCACACTGCTACGCTATTCACTATCTACCACAGAATAGATAGCGAGTAACGTAGCCAATCAGAGAACGGCATTCGTGATAGAACGCTAGTAGATTTATGCTAAAAGAATTTAGATAGTAGCACTTGCAGCATTGCTCAGCAACATTGTCTATCGATAGCCAGGCTTATCTTAAATGTTTGATATTTTTAGGGTTGAGTCTTTTTCGGTTAGTTTGATTCGCTTGTTTGGAGATATTTCAGACATACATAACTTAGGTCCTTTTATTTAGTACTTGTATACTACCATAAAAGAATTCCGAAAGTAACGGCCTCCCGTTACTTTCGGATAGATACGTAATGATAATAGGTAATTCTTTTTTTTATAGCGCCAACTCCGCTTAGCTAAAAAGCCTGACTTCGTAGAAAGACTACTCTCATAATGACGAAAATATACATTAATGAAAAATAAAAAAACAAACTGCGGTCACCAACATGGCAAAACAAGGCATGTTGTAAAAAACTCGATTTCTCAGAACTTAACGAAACTGTTGACAGTGAGAAGCTTCTTCTCTACTAGCCATTTATATGTTTTTTTTTCAGCAGATTTTAAGTCTGTTTATTTTCATTTATATCTATTGTCATATCTTTCCTTATTAGGTACCGGTTTCCGTTATTAGGCACTAATCTTCTTGTTTAAATTTATCGTAATGAAGCTAACCGTTTTATACTTCTGATGATGTATGTAGAAGCAAACGAAATGTTAAGTTCTCAAATCAAGGTTTTTACAACATGTGTTGTTTTGTCATGTTTGTGACGGCAGTTTGTTTTTTGTTTTTTACTTAAGCTGAAATGGCCGAAGAACAAGAGCTTATACATTAATTAATTAATTAATTAATTAATTAATTAATGAACAAGAAAACAAGAGAAAATACAAACTAGTTAAAATGTAAGTAGATAAAATTTTAATTAAAATGATTATTTACAATATGGTTAAAAACGTTTGTATATATGGTAATTCACAGTCGTTTCAGGCCTAGGGGGCGCGTAACATGTCCAACATGAAGTTAACAGATGTTGGTACTGAAGGGCAAAAGAAATGGTCGCATTTTACATTAATCTAAAGAACTGTTTGAAACGTTACATTAAATATAATATGTTATTGTGTGAGTCGAGCAGGTATAATCTTCAAAGGGCCGTTATTTTCGGGAGCGACATTACTTTTGCTGGGACCGTTTCTTCCAGGGTTCAATAGGAAGGTAAAAAATTTAGCCGTTTTTTTAGAAGGTCGGAGGGGGGAGTGAGGCGTTACATTGGGAATTCTACAGTATTAATGTTAGCGAAATTCTGGCTAATTCATTGCGTTTGTAATTTAGGGAAGATGATGAAATGCAAACGACTACAGCACCCCCCTGACAGCTTGTGTTCGTGGTTCGTCAGTATCTGTGCTTCTGTATGCCAGTTGTTGGATCTTGGTTTTAGCGTTAGCTTTGGCGTGCTGCTTCCTGAACTAATGGGCGAGTTCAGAGAAGGCCGAGCGAGGACTGGTAAGGCTAGGTAATTGTTGGATCCTGGGCCTGGGCGGATCTGGTTGGGGATTGGGGGGTGGGGAGGGGGTGGGTGGGTTCGGGAGGCTCGGTCGAACCCCCTATATTTGAAAAAAATGATTCATTATAACACGCTGAATTTGCCTCAGAATGCCGGAAATCCATTTCCAAGGAACTCAATTTTAAAAATTTTCCGGGGAAGCATGCGCCCGGACCCCCTACAGGGGATAACTAAAATCCTGTATCCGCCCCAGGGATCTGAAATTTGCGCTTCCACTGCTAATCAATCTGCTAGCTACCTGAATAAAAAATGCATTTTCATTCGATTTGATTTTTAAGGTCTATGGGTCAGTAGCTTGCCAATCGCTTCCGCCAGCTCTTGAGCCTGGACCGGTCAGACCTGAACTTGAAGTGGAAATATGTCGGAACCTGAAAGTCGTGATTCTCAGTACGCTCGTGGTCTGGACGGTCCTGGTTGAAGAGCTGATCGGCGTCGCTAAGTTAGTGTTCTCGGACAACCTAAACAAATTCAACAAGCATTCAAACAAAGCTTGTTTCTGTTGTTGTTGTACAACAGCTGAAAGAGGTAAATTCCATCCTAGAGAAGTGCCAATGTTCCTAGTCGCTGCATTTTGCAGAGATTATGATAAAGCCGGGTGGTTTGGCGCAGATTTCGTCTTACCTCATTACTTTGTTCATTTCTTGTCATAACCTCCCCTTTTCCCGCACTGTAGCTAACTGTCTTTGCGTTCCCCCCATAGATGATCCAAACACACCGAAAAATTAAGCCATTGCATTGCTTGCCAGTATATGAACTTCGCATGAAATGCCCTAGTTTGACAGACTTTTTCACTCGTGTGTTAACTAGTACTTTTGTTTTGGAATTACAGTTTGGGTCGGTTCTCTATCGTTGGGTCTGACATTTTTCCTCGGCCCTCTCGGATCAGCCCTCTGCGAAACGATTGGATGTCGCTTCACCTCTATCGCTGGGTGTCTGATATGTGCACTGAGCTTGCTGTTAACTTCTTACTCCTCCAGCCTTCTGTGGATGTTTGTTACCTACAGTTGCCTGTATGGTCTGGGTTCTGCCCTCTTGTTTTCGTCCTACTTTCTCATAACAGCTAAGAACTTTCGTAGGTGGCAGTCTCTCGCAGTTGGGATCGTTTCAGTCGGGGGTAGCATTGGAGTCCTCGTTATGGGTCCCTTATTACAGCTCTTGATTGATGTGTTCGGTTGGAGAGGAACTTACAAGATGATTAGTGTACCATTCTTTGTAATGGCGTGTGTATGTGGCGCCATTTTCGGTGATCCTATCCAAGATCCTTCCAAAAACAGCCAACAGAACTGCGCGGAAAAACCAGACGACTTAAAAACCCTTTCCGTCGAAGGACTATCGACGATGGATATTGGTATAGTAAATTTAGGCCACGTGGAAGATTTGGAAAATACGGCAATTCGTAAAGACGAAGAAAACAACAATAGAGAAACAAAAAGAAACTTCTCTGAGTATCATTACAAGAAAGACATGAAAGGAAAGAAATTTTCGGGTAGGAAACGAAAATTAAGGACACTTTTGGACATTTCCGTGTTCAAGGTTCCAACTTACACGATAGCAATGGTCAGTCTTGTGTTGATGAACTTTGGCCATTTCATTCCGCAAATGCATTTGGTAAGTGGATCAATGACGGTAATTATAAACACCGTAGGGCCACGTTACTCCGGACAATTTACAAACGCTGTTTTCTTAATACCCTGACCTTATTTAACAAGCGCGAGGGGAACAATTGTTTTATTGAAAACGCCCCCAAAATATAGAAAATTAGACTAAAATAAAAGTAAATCACACGTACGCTTAGCATATTTGTAGAGCATGGTATAGATAAACAGTAGTCTCCATTTGGCGCGAAAATATGCCCTGATATATTAGACCGCTGCACTGTGTGGGACTAGGACTGAGGGCCAACACACAAAAACTTGGCATTTTGATCAAAATATTTCCAAGTTTAGATTCTATCGTTTAAAAAAACTTATTGTTTTCATTTCAGGTAAAATATTGTCTTGAACTGGACATTTCTGCTGACTCGGCATCTCGACTTTTCATTTTTCTTGGTTTATCATCCTGCGTGGCTCGCGTTGCAGCTGGAAGATTGTGTGACGTTCAGTGGATAAATACTATTTTTATTTACCAGTTTGGAGCTCTGCTTGTCGGATTTGTTACTGTAGTGCTCCCAGTTATACAAAGCTACGAGAGAATGGCAATCTTCGCCGTGATTTATGGCTTGGGTGATGGGATCTTTGTCACGACAATGAACTCACTTCTCATGTTCACAGTGGACGAGAGGCGCAGAGCGGCCGCGTTGGGGCTGGGAAACACTTTGCTGTCGGTAGGAGTTGCAGCCGGGCCTCCACTGGCAGGTGACTCAGGCCTGGGCTATTTTATTTCTTATATATTTGATGACGCAAACGGTGTAAAACTCAGACTTCCGACTGCAAACTACAGACCGGGGGGCGAGGAAGGGGGGGGGGGAATGCAGAGTAAGGGGAAAATGCAGACTTCTTAAGTGTATAAAAATGGAAAAAGTGTAGTCATGAGATGTCATAAGTTCTGTGGAAAAAGGTTTGCCACTGACTCTTGACATTTTTCAACAGACGTTTCGTCTAATGCTTAAGCCTTCATCAGTGATATCACTGATGAAGGCTTAAGCATTGGCCGAAACTTCTGTTGAAAAATATCAAGAGTCAGTGACAAACCTTTTTCCATAGTTCTTAAGTGTGAATATCGTATTCTTTCCAGTATCAAGGGCTAGTCGTAAACAGGCTAACCTAGGCGTTATTCAGGCGAATCCGAGTGTAGTCTGTGCTTCGGTTATATATCCTGAATAACTCTTTTAGCCCGTTGCCGGTTAGCTCTGGATAATATGGATATGGTGAGACGATTTAGTTAAAAAGTTTCCAGTCTGCAGTCTGCATTTTACCACCGTCTGCAGTCTGCGATTTAAACTGGCCAATTAATCATATCGACGCAAGTTTTTAAGACCTGTTTAGCCACACAGTTCCGATCAGTAATCATCTGTAAAGATTATTTGCCCGCAGCTCAAATTGTTTTCAGGAGAAATTTTCTGTTGGTTTGAACACGCCCTAATTTGAAGTTCACATTCAACATCCCAGATTAATTCCTATTAACGACTCTTGTGACACCTAATCGGTACTTTTGGGGTTTGATCAGTATTCCGCATTGAATCCACGTCAACCATCTCCCTCTCAGTGCTTTCAGCACCATCCCCTCAACTGGCAAGTCAAATTTTTGCCATAAATCCAAACTCGGAGATATCTCTCTCAACCGATCAAAAGACGATATTAGTGTGGATCTATATATTTCGCCTTAATGTCCTGTATCCCGTTTATTGCGGTTGCAAAAATTAACAATTTGTCCTACTCGATATCCCAAAATATCTGTTCCAAATATCCCAAATCCTATCAATTTTTCTCCCAAATAACGTGTATCCCATTTAAATTTTTCACCTAAATATCTCGTATCCCGAACACCTCTAATTATAGGTATTTTGTTGTATGTGTTTGTTGGCTATTTTGGGAGTGGCCCCTGCACAAAACCTGGCAAAATACAAAAGGCGGTCATGTGTGTTCATACAACCAGCCAATAGAAGCATTTCGATTATGCATTTCATGCAGGATCAAGGACCTTCCAAAACAAATCTTGGCCTGTTTGTTTGTTTGTTTGATGTTTACCGGCCTTCCTAATCATTTCCCTCTATTAACTATGCCCTTTTAAGGCCTCAATCACAAACTGCTTGTTGTCTAATTTCAGGATTCCTGGCAGATGTGTTTGATTGCTACACGTGGTCGTTTATTATGGCTGGTATCTTGGTGCAAATAGCTGCCTTGCTGCCTCTGGTTGTGTTCTGCCTCGGGGAAAAGAGAGGATTTGACTTGAAAAACAATATAAGTAGTGACGAACAATTAGCCACATATAGACATACAGTATTTGGTCCACCTAGAGCACGCTAACTAACTTTTAAAGGTCTCATTTGTGCAAAACACATAATCAATATCAAAATTAGTAAAAGCTATCGTAGGAATATCGTGGGAATGCGAGTGCAATCATCCTCAGCTATGGATTAACACTACGAGTGTCTTTTTTTTAAGTTCTCTCAAAATTGCACGAGACTTCAGGAGGGTGCAATTTGAAATAACTTCCAACTTCGAGCGTTCGTAAGATTACTCATTTATTTTTTGAAATAACTGAGCTACTACGCGCGCTCTCATTAGTCGGTAGGTGTGTTTAGATGAGAATAGGTAAACACGGTTGTGACGTTTTAGATTCGCGCGTATTTTTGAGAATTATTTTATAAAAACAACAGAGCACTTTTTCCGTGTTTACATAGCCTCGTCTAAACACTGGAGTGGGGGCTGGGAGAATTCTCGAAAGTTATGTAAACCCGCGACTACGTCTCGGGTTTGTATAACTGTCTCGAATTCTCTCAACCCTGCTTGTGTTCAGATGAGGCTATGTAAACACGGAAAAGGTGCTCTATAGCTTAAATGTGACTGAGAAAATTATGAACGCACCAGCGTTACTTTGATTGCAGTGCAAATTAAACAATTAACGATAAATTGGCTTGCTCTCAGCCAGTCACGATGAAGTAATTTTCTCAGTCATTAGGTAACTCGGTGACATCAATCAAGATCAAGTCAAGGAAAAAACAGGTAATTTTTTATGTTTCCTTTGCCATGTCATGCATCGGTATCTTTTGATTTATTATTGTATTTAACAGACTTGTACTTAACAGCTCATGCTTTCATAAAAGTAAGCTAAGGGTATGGCTTTTTTTATTATTTGCTTTTACTAAACTTCAATTTCAAGAGAAACGTTTCAGCATCTACAGAATGATCGCTTAACTCACTTGAACAAGACTACACATTAAGAGTACAGAAGAGTAAAAAAACGACAACAGCAATTTGACCGAATAAACGAAGTATTTGTATTTGCACGGCGTTAAACATAATTATGCTCTAAACACTCACTTAAAAACAAATTTTCTCAAATCATGTCAGGCTGTACTGATCAAAACGTGCTCGGTTTAGGTTCAAATTTTACTGACTTTTACTGACTTTTACTTACTGACTTTTGAAGATTACTGGTACACCGATAATAATATAAGGTAATTACAAAAATGAAAGAAAAAGAAGACAGGACCAAGCAGTGATATGGCTGAACTTGATTCTGACTCGATGCCAAGTATGATTCACCGACTTGTTAAGCAGTTATTGGGACAGCGGTGTGCAGCTTGGCGTCATGCGTGTGGTCATCGTAGTAGGGATCTCTTGCTTTTATGCTCCTATACGAAGAAAATGGAAGTATATCATTTGAATTTGCACATGGCAAACTAATGAAAGATGTATGAAATATGCTTAAAAGAACGCCGGTAACGATTAATCATTATAGATTAATGTCGTAACCTTTAATCGTATTTATAACACAATTATCGTGATTGCTTCTCTGCGCGTATATTTGTCATGTATTCGGCGCGCGATCACGTGTGAGTCCAATTACAGGTATCCAGTTGGATACCTGTAATTGGACACCTTCGCCATTTGTGCGTCAATTACGCACGCTTTAATGGCTTCCTTCTTAAT